TGATAAATTGTGATACAGGGTGGTAAATAAAAAAAATCAAAATTTGGGAAAGTTCGGAACTAGTTGGCCAAAAATGAGGTTTTTTGGCTTTCAATACCAAACGTTTAAAATTAATCTAAGCAGCTCGAAACGGTTTTGTTTACAGGATGGCCTCAAAAACCCGACTTTTGATCTTGCTTGGATAAATTTTCTGCTCCTGGTCCGATTGTCACGATCTAGAGCTCATGTTGAGGCTAAACTTTCATCAACAATTCCAATAAAAAATTGCCCAAATCGGAGTTCTGACCGACTTTCAACGAAAGTGAAGTTCGCTTTCAAATATTTCGATCGTTTGTGCAACCAATAGTTTTGCTCAATTCGACTTTAAAGTTTTAACTTCAATTTGAGCTCCAGATTTTGAAAATTGGTTCAAGAAAAAAATGTTATACTGCAAGACTAACAAGTTGTTTTCTTTGGAAACGCTCTGTAAATAAACGAGAGGGTCGAAAAATTCAAAAACGTTTTTAGAAATTTGAGATTCCTAATGCTGGTGATGTTGGAATAGAAAAAAAACGTCGTTTTGTCCAACTTTGAGCAGTCAAACTTTCCTGTCTCCTTGGCATCCTGTAGAAACATTATCTGAAGCACTGATTTTTGCAAAAGCACCTACGAACCAGAAATATTTTGCGCAAAACAAAGCTCTAATCAAAAATAAAATCGCTCTCAGCAATCAGAATTTATCCAGATTCAAAATTGATCGAAGTTTATTCGTGTAACGCGCATTTTATCCAACTTGAACTAGAAAATCGGCCCTTGAAATTCGTCTAGTTTCAAACTGTTCTCGAGCTGTGAACGGCGACTTGCTAGTAGACTGAAGATGCAAGGTACTCGTGCTAGCGAAACGTCAGACATAAATTATTTTTCACGGCCCTTACGAGAAAATCACCAGATTTAGTTTGAGTGTCATTTCAAATAACTGATTTTCAATTTTTTACAGCAAAAGTCTGTTTTAATTTGGCCAACTTCAAATTCAGCTCAAGAACTCTAGCTGTTGGACAAAAATAGTCAATTTGGCTTATTTTAATAAAAAAAATGCGTTTCTAACCCTGGAACTTAAGTTGGCCTTAAAATATCGACAACTATAGAGTCTGATTTAGATTGCGTATCAAATTGAAAATTAAACCACTGTTTCATAGCAGTTCCATGTTCAAATAAAAGAAACAATGTGAAAAATCTTTAAACAATCAATTAGTCATTGAAAATGGTTCAGTTTACGGTACAAAGCAAAACTTCCAACTCCCAAGTGAAACTTGTGCCAAACTTTTCGGTCACCACACTGGAAAGATTCAAACTACAATTAAAGATCGATTGGACTAGAAACCTTTGGCAATTTTTTGTGGTTTGTGAGGGGGAAGAAAACGACTGAAAATCAGGAACACAGTTGTTCGAAATAAAATGGTGTCTTGAATATTTACGAAAAAACAGGTCAGTTGGGATTGTATTGTCGAAATTTATGGGCAAAGTTGCACAATAGATTTTGTTGAGATTCTGTCGTGTCCGCGAATATTCCGAAATGCAACAGTTGTGTAAGGACAAAGCCGTATTGGTTTTGTTTTCACATCTCCAATTTCGGCACCGGTCAAAATGCATTGTATTCGGAACAAAGAAGTCGATCGGCTTTGACTGCAGACGTAAGACACAATAAAAATTAATATTTAGTGTATTGTCCAATAGCTCAATAATTGGGCAAAATAAATGAGAAGCGACTGGTCAAATATGGAAAAATCCTAATACAGCTCAATTCCAAGAAATCATGTCACCAAGCCAGGCCCGTTCAATCCTTTACGATATGAAATCTGACACCGGCCATTTGAAATATAGATCCCCAAACTTCGGGTATCACTTTCAATATTCGACGAAACTTTTTTTATGTGTGTGTGCGTGGGGGTACTATCTGAAACATCAGCAAGAAAAAAATCGAAAAGTTAAAGTATTACCGTGGTGACAAGTACCACAAAACACGAACCTATCAGGTCGATCGTGTGTATTCGAAACCTTGTCCCTTTGTTTTTCTAATGGTTATTGAGATGAATTCGGTCATCGATCAATTTCTTCCGAAGCCTCAGTTTCTGAATGAGATCGCTTTTCAATATTCGAGATAATAAAATGTCACCTGGCTTAGGTGGAGGAGATAGTTTCGGCCGATGAAGAAATTTGAAAATGATCGATCTCGAATTGGGACTAAGTCGTTCATGTGTTGTCATCATCAATCGATTATTTTGTTAAGCCAGTCTGAGGAACAACTTTGATAACCAGATGACTAACTGCTGAAGTTTTGCGTGGTTTTGGACCCTTTGAGCTACCAACAACTAAAGCTTTCAGTGGTTTAATCACCTTATTATTAAATGGCTTAAAAAATGCCGGCTGATTTCTTTAATCGTTATAGATATAGAACTGAGGAAAAATTGGACTTATAGCTATTGGTGAGAAAAATGAAATATTCGCCTCGAAATAATCATTTAACCGTTGGTCATAAATCTGAACACAGTTTCAATACGGCTCAACACCTACACGTAAAAAAGGGGATAGGCGCCATACGGTTCCAGCGAAAACCCCATAAAAAATGAACCCATCTAGGTTCAATTTGCTTTGGCGTCGGCTCAAAACAAATAAAGAGAATTTATAGGGCAAGCGGAAAAACCATTTCGTATGCATTAAAATTTTAATTTGTTCACAATATTTGTTTTGCTTATTATTTGTTTCCAGACGAAGATTACTATTTAAAAGGCAATCATCCTCGGGTGCTTTCGAAATGCACGAGATTTATGGGTCAAGGGAGGATTTTACAGTGTATATGCGGTTATGACCTGGCCGCACGGTATGATAAGCAGCCCAGGTATTTTACCAATGATTTACTACAGTGACGGAAAAAATTGCTTTTTGCTTTATGGGTCTCGGTGGCTGTAGATATACAGGGTTGTTGATATGAAGCCAAAGCCTAACTCTATTTGGGTGTATTTCGCGAACTAATGGTGATAGATGTCTGCAAATTTGCTTGATGACATGTTTAAAAGCATTTTATTCCATATTGACTAGAAAAGAAGTTATACGAGATGGAATTCAAACTGTTAAGTCTCAGAAGGACACAGTTAATCAGGTCACACATCTGCAAATGAGTAGAAGGTTTGAGTATTGGACTAACTGGACACAATGATAGTGTCAGCATGGGAAAACGCTAGTGAGGGTGTCCGAAAACGTCTGGAACAACACCCGAAAACATTCGAAAAGTGAGGGCACGAATCGACAATGCGACAATCTTTCGAAGGACAGAAGACAAAAAAGATGGCAAATTCTCCGGATGCAAACCCGATGGATTTCTCTTTCTGGGGTATTTTGAAGGCAAAGATTTGCGCATAAACACAGGAAAGTTTGGAGGCTCTCAAGGAAACACTTCAGAGGAAATCACCTCTTTAACAGATACCGTCAAAGCAAAAAACCATCATTTGAAGTGAATAAGATGATGGAAAAACAAAAAAACGGCTTTTATTCCTGGTCAAGTTGTATGTTCATGTTAAAGCGGTTTAGTATTTGCAAAGCTTTAAATGTCTTTTGTTGAAACTGATTAATTTTTCGGGCTTTAAGACTGTCGTGGAACAGAGTGTCTTAAGAGAACTGAGAAGAAAACAAAACATTAAAGAAGCAAAAAGCTGCAGCATCTTCTTTCGAACACCTTTATTTTTGTTACTTAAACACTGTAGATAATTAGGTTTTCTCGATGTTTTTCACTATTTCTTATTCGTTTCTATTGTGATTCTATTTCCCTCAATTGCTGTCCTAATTCTATAGTTGTTGCCCGAATTCCTGTGCTTCTCCCATTAGTTCCCCTATTCTTGTCCATTTTGTTTGCCCAGTTTTGTTTCGTTTCGATTAGTTTCTTCACCCCCAGTTTTGAAACCCCAGTGAACGCCCGGTTTTTGTTGTTTTTTCTATATAGTTGGTTTTCTCCTTTGAACCGTTACGCAAGCTGGCGCCCCATCCTCTATTTTCTGCCCAAGTTCCATTGTATTGTAACTTATACTGTCAAACGCGCGTTTTAGGTTCAAACTGGATTGGATGATTGGCGTAAACAAAACAGATTTCTCTGGTCAATATAAACAACTCGGGGGCGCAATAGACTTTTACATGTTAAATTAAATACGATAACTCCGATTAAATTTTTGCTCAATATTTAGAAATTTTGAGTCGTTGCAGTTTCATCTGTAAGTTTTTTGCAAAAATCAACTTTCGATTTTTCTTCAATTTCCTATCATCGCTTTTTCTGATGTTTAATTAGAATTCGTCTAGGTAATTTGCTCAAACAATTGTGATTTTTTCACCATCCAGACTGTGAAATTGAAACCAATAGTTCCAACTGTTGCCTAAAACTTTGTCGGATTCTACTTACATGCTGTTCAAAAATCTACTTAGTCAGTAGCAAAAGATCTAACCACTTGTAGCCGCGTTCAAACACATTTCAAAAAGCCAAATAAAACACAGAAAATAGCAAATTTACGGCTCAAGTCCAGGTCTAGTTTAAGAAGCATGGGAAAGCTACAAATCAAAACGCAAATTACCAAGCAATTTAAATTTGATTCCTACATAAGAAATCGGTTTAGTTAGGTTTTAAGCTGTAGTTTCCCCACATGCCTAATCAGACGGTTTCACTGCTGAGCAACGAGGAAGTAATTTAAATAATGGATTTTCATGTTTTGTTTGTAAAAAAGGAAAAATGGAGTAATAGTAAGTGAATGGTATTTTCCTCACCTCGAAAGGAGGATAATTTATTGGTGCCTGAAACTATTTTTGCCTAAATAGTTTCTCATGGGACAGACTCTAATCATTTGATCACGGAAACACCAAAGTACCTGCGGTAGCTACTACTACCATTCATCATGCTTAAAAAAAAACTCTAAGATGATGACTTTGCACAACCTTTCTCAATGGTTCTCGTTGACAGGCCTGGTTTTGACAGTCATCACCATTTTTCGGCCATTCGGGCCCTATAATTTATTACACCCACCGTATTTATCTCCCGGCCTCTATGTGAAACCATGCACGGTAAATTGTGGGAATTCGGACAGGTTCCTAATTAATTGGGATTTGATTTGGGTATAATTTTTAGGTAAAAAGTCAACAAGTACTCTTAGGATTTTACGTCGGAACAGCGAAAAATCCTTCAGCCTGGTCATCGATGTTAGACTTTTTCCTCCTTTGGCTCTGGCTTTGGCGCAGTTTTTCATCAAGCGGCAAAACGTTCACACATCTCTAAACCAACATCATGCGGCAGTAAATGGCTGAGGGTTTGGAAGAAAAAACGTCTTAGAAATTCAACAGCTCTATTCATGAAATGTCGGCAGCTTTCTCAGCAGTCAGGTTTCTGGCGCCTGATTGATATAATTCGTATGACTTGCATTTGCGTCACGAAACTGATGAGGGATCAATTGTGGTGGGTGGTTTTGGATCAGAATTTCAGGAGAATGATGACTTTGGGCATATGAAAGGTGCTGATAAACCGTCGTGTTAAAAGAACCGGCGACGTGGCGAAAGAAAATAAAATAAACAGAATAAGTGAATTTTCGAACTTTTAGGCTCTTGATACTCTGCTGCACTCACTGAAAACACGCCCAGTGACCGATTGAAGAAACGGTATTTAAAAAATTATCAAGGAAGGTTGGAGACGAAAATACGCAAACAATATTAGAACAACAAGAAACACAGCTTTAGAAGCTTTAGCAGAAATTGACTACTACTACTGCAAAAAACGACATATAAAGATGCAGAAGGGAACGTATGAACTGCCGAAGGTAATTTCAAGTCAAAACTGGTTTTATTTCAGCGCAGTTATACCACATTTCACTTTTTTGTTTGTTTTTTTTTACGTTCCATTCAGTTTTTTCCAAGAAAGAAGGAAAAGATATGAAAAGCAAAAACAGATCGAGGAATCAAATAAAAAATCTGATAAAATTCATATTGTTAAGACAATTTGATTGCCGTGATTAGCTAGAAGGACGATGTTTCTTCCTGGGAAATTTGGGGTTTCATTTCAACAATATAATTTTCAAGAAAAAAGTGCATGCATTTGTACAAGGTAGCTCTGAAAACTCAATTCAATTCGCTTCAACGACTTTAGGCTGGAAAAGCACACAAACGCCTCTGGAACTGGCTGAAGAACGGAACCTACTTTACACCTTATTCAAATAGTTCTAGAAAAAAGGGCAATCCTGAACAGCCATCGATACTTAACCTGAACCTTTCCCATTAATTTCCTGCAAATTTGCTGAACATTAGACATTGACTGGGGATGGAAGACTGCTCTGGCCCTCCTGCCAACTAACACTCTCAGATCTGATTACCGAAAAATCTCTGCTGTTCGGCATCGATCAAAAACGCATGTTAACGAATCCAATTTGTTGAGCAGCGAACATATTAAAAAGGCTCAACCAACCCTTGACAATGGCCGTAACGTGCGTTCAAAACAAATGGAGCACGTTCGGATTTTCGGTGTGGTTGCGCTAATGAATGGTTTACGAAGGGCACGTGCGGTCCACGTGCCCTTCGGTGCCACCGGTCGCTACGGGATCAGAAATAATGCCCTCGACAAGTGCTTGGCTTTTCACGTGCCCATTGCCCAAGTAATAGAGCCCCCACGTTTCCTTGGCTGGAACAATTCAGAGTTTTGCATTTCCCAGGGATTTTTTTTAGGTTTCGGGGTGGGTGTCTTTGCTCGAATTCAGCTCATTTTACCGAGAGAGAAACCGACTTATTGATAATCCATTGGTGCATTGATTCAGACACTCAGTGCTCAGTTTTCAGTGGCAGACGTTTATCGGTGGAAATACAATGAAAGCAATGAACTTTCAAAGTTCTTTTAACGATTGAAGCGGATTCTTCCATTGACACACAATGGTCCAAAGCAGTGGCAGTTTCTCCATAGGGCAACGATGCAGTAAACGCACGGTTTTTGTTGTTTTTTTCTTATCTAGTTGGTTTTCTCCTTGCAACCGTTACGCAAGCTGCCGCCCTATCCTCTATTTTCTACCCGTTGTGTTCAAAACGGTTACACTGCACTTGAACACACACTGCAACTTGCAGTAAATCCTGAATTTGGCAACTTAACTTCGCAGTTCGATTCCCGAAGTTTTTCAGCTCTTTTATATTATTTATGATTTTGTATTATTCGATATTTGAATTTCGACTCAAATCACCCGATAATGGTTAAAAAAGGTATCGTAAAAGTCTATATGATAGAGCAAAAATAATTTGTAATCAATCTAATGTTCCCAAAGAAAAACAATTTATAAAAGAATTTCTAAATTTCAATAATTATCCAAATTCTTTTATTGAAAAATGTTTTAACGAAACTGAACTCCCACGAACAAAACAAAATCAAAATAAACCTATTACGAACCTTTTCATTCCATTTATTTCAGAACTTTCAGATCAAATTAAATGAGTAGGTAAAAAATTTAATATTAGGACTATCTTCAAAACTGAAAATACGATTAGAAGTAAAATTTCAGTAACAAAACCTCATGACATAATTGAAAATACAAAAAATGTAATTTATAAAATTCCTTGCGAATGCAATAAATTTTATATA